CGTAGTGAACATGTTGTATCGAGGGTTGGATATAGGTTCCGCGTTCGAAGATGAGCGATTGATAGGTGCGGGATATGGGTTTCTGTCATGGTTGAGTTTTTCGACGCGTATTGTTTCAGCTCTACCTTTGAACGTACACAGAACAATGTTATGATCATTTTCGCATTGTGAGCAACGAGGTTCTTTGCAGGATCTAGACCGATGATCGTTCTGAAAGCAGATCCAGCACGATCTTTTACGTTTGAGCATCAATACAGATCTCTTGCTATATGGCGTGGGAAATCGATCGCATTTGTCAGAGTTGTGTTGTTCTTTGCAGAAGAAGCATCTCTCGCTTGATTTATCTTGGGGATAAGCTCTCGTCTTTTCCTTTCTGGGGTAGCCGATCTTGATCCTCTTGAACCGCATATGTATGTGTTTGCAAGGAGGGGCAAGACGCTTCAATTCATATCATCTTTCTTGGTGTTCGGACCGCGATTACTTGACTTGACAACTATATCTACAATTAAGTTTTCCTCTATCAGTCTCATGAATTCCGAAAGTGGAACCCTTTTATCTAATCTGGCTTCTTTGATGAAAATAGGTGTTAAATATTTTGAAGGTATGTGTTCTAATATCGCCTTTCTCGTGAAGGGATTGTTATCATGTTGAATACCTTTTTCGTCTGCTAGCATTATACTCATCGTACGTATGTAGGTGAGAATGTCGTGTGGTGCTTGTGACGTAGGTTCCACCTCGCACATTTGGTCGCTGGCTGCGTTCTCCTTAGCATATCCTTTGTCGTAGATGGAGTCAAGAAGCTCTAAAGCTCTGTTATAACTGGTTTGCAGGATAGGGAGTTGTGACACCAACATTAGTGGGTGCCCGGATAAATAGGACTAAAGGTATATGAACTTGTTTAGAGAGGATAGTGACTGATTCGAATGGCAGTACGCTTTGAATGAGTTGATGAACTCGTCGTACAACATGTGTTCCCCATTAAAGTGTTTGATTTGTACGCCTGGTAAGGCGACATTATTGAACTGGGGAGTTTTACTATGTGCGTCCTGCTCTATCTTCCTTGCGTAACGGTAAAATTTCTGGATGATAAGGAACATTCCATGAGCCACGAGTTGAATTCGCTGATAGTTTCGTTTATTCCATGTTCTTCCTTGTATCGCTCGTAGTCGTCGGATGCTTTATTCACCATCTCTATGGTGTGAATGTCCCCTAACTCTTGGCATAGCTTCAGTAGGTATTCTTCGTCTTTCTCGCAGAATTCCTTAAGATGTTTCTCGATGAGCAAACGAGTTTTTAATTCAAGTTCAGTAGATTCTTTTTCCGGCTAGAAGTTTTTTTCTTATGACTCTGATCTTAAGGAGTAGCGATGTCTTATACCCATTAAGGTATTGACATATTGATCTCGGAAATCTCTCTCTTCCAGCTTCGAGACGAGGCTCGGTTTCTGAACTTATCCCTTCAGAACGAGGCCCGGTATAATCAATATCTTCGAGACGTATCTCGGAATCAAAATTAATCTGGTTGAACTCTTTAATGATTTCGGTGCTCATTGCGGGAGCCAAATGTAAATTCTTCTACTAACTAGTTATCTAAAGTATAAGAGATTCTCAATTTAAGTTCAAACAGTTATTGAAAAATATTTATCTCGAATGGCAAAAAACGCCTCTTTTACGTTCCGTGGAGTTACGTGAAATTAACATATTACAAAACACTTAACTCCCTACGACAACACATTAACATATTACGAAAAAAACGAATTAGCATGAGATCACGACAAACGTGACAAGAAATTAGCCTAACATGATTCATTACAATGAGCATCCTTAGTAGATTGCAGGCATACCAGACATAACCTGTGAGAGGTGACGTAAGATGAACGAAATTCCCAGCTAGAGTATGTACGACATGTGTGTGAAGAGTGATACCGTTGACAAAAAACGCATCTATCCTGGTGGTTGTGGTCCGTCAAAGCTACCTTGGTCTGAAGTTTGACTGAAGTGACATCGGCTTTCAACTCCTGTGGTAGTGTTATGATTGCATTGAGGTTGGTTTTGCTTTCCTTGAGATCATTTTTCAAGACATGTAACACGTCAGGGCACAGCACACAGCTGGAGTTGTCGGGTGAATTGGATCGTGGAGAATGACTGGACTACATCTGAGAAGAACTATATAAGAGAGAAACAACAGAGCTAAAGACAACATAGTACAGGTAAAAAAGAGAGGAGCTAAAGGTCACCTCATGTAGAAGCCGGCCGCTTGAATCTGACCACCTCGAGTGGGACTAAAGCTTCTTGTGGTCTCTGGTATAAATTGCGGTCCGGGTGGCGTACCGGAACACTCCTGCAAATCCCGGCATCGTCTAAATGCAATGCCTCTATTACCTCGAGGTACCATTTCCGCCTTTCCGTACTCATCTAGGTAGATAAAACCACCTCTCCTATGAGGGGGGTCTCAATCTTTTTAACTCCTTTGTATCGGTCTCTTTCTCTAATGGCATCTAAGTATTCTTCCAACCAGATTTGCCACAGCGAGTCTTTGCGAGCGTTGGTTTCGACTCATCTTTGAAAAAGTTCTCTGGGTCCGGCCACTGAGAACAAGTTGAGAGCACCCTGAAGGTTCAACTTCACTTTGTCCCAATTTTCTGTATAGGAACAAAAAGTGTTGGGGAATCAGGGCGATTTTTTCTTCTGTGTTCAGAGGTGTTCTGATGAATCAGAATGAGAAAGATAAGAATAATGATAAGAGACAATACTTTCAG